ACTCCTTTCTTGCCCATAGTGATAGCATGGGTCACAGAGACAGATGCAGAAGTGTCAATCGCAGAGATAGCACAATAAATACAGTAGTGTTGGTCACAGAGACAAACACAAACCCAGGCAGAGTGGTTAAAGAGACAGCTTGCTGGTGCAAAAGGGGCTAGCAACAACCTGAGAAGAGTAAGTAATAGTAGCAAAGAAAGTATATAGATAACGTGGTATCTATTGTTTGAAACAATGAGCAGCAGTACTACATGAAAGTCAATAGAAACAACATACCAGAGGTTTGTTATGTCTAATCGGGATCCGAAATACCTGCAGAAATGTCAGAGTGAGTTAGCAAGGCACTTACCAAAAAAATTTGATTTTTAAAAAAAACAAAACATGCAGGTGATTGCAAGTGTTGACAATAGCTGGATGCAGAGTCTAGCGCAAAAACAGCTGGACCTAGAGTCAGGCTTCAGTGGTGGCTGGTGGCAGGCAAGAGTAAGATAAGTTACAGGTGTAACACAGCATCTGATTTATTGGCTACATGACTAGAGGTAGCTGGTCCATGCATTGTGGGTCCAATAACTGGGACTTTTTCTTCTCTTCAATTTGTTATCTCAGCATCTCCCTCCCACTTTGCTGGCAGTGTCCCCCAATGTCTGCCTCTTGTTGATCACTCCCTGACCACTCAGTCTGACCCCATTGCCATTCTACAGACATGTAGGATCTGCACCGCACTGTCTTACTACCAGTCCTTGCTCTGTGCTTTGGAATTTGGCCTCAGTGATCCTGAATCCCTGAGCCCATTGAATGAATCCCTTGGCTCTGTGCCCCAGGTGTTCTCCTCTAGGTTGGTCTACACTGCTAGTGCATTTGGTAGTGCATATTGCCTGTTTGGTGTCGATTCCTCCCAATTGTAAGTATCTCTTCAACCTGTGCTAGAGTTGATCTAACTCTTTCCAGACTGTGCCTGCCTTGTTGATTCTCCATGGTATGTACCTGTTAAGCTGTTGCATATGGCCTATACCAGTGTTATCCTTAAGGCCTTAATTAAGGCCTCCAAGCAGGCTGAAGGCCTTAGGGCTTATTTGGACCTTAAATTAATTTCAAGTTAAGGTCAAGTTAAGGGTTTAAATACAAAAATGTTTTTATTTCTTAATCTACCTTCATACACATACCAGTGCCTTCCCAAATCTTTCTTTAGCACTTATCTTCATATGCAAGGTCTCTTCACTCTGGTAGGCTGTTTTACAATTTTTACAATGATCTAGATGACCACCTGCATGCATCCCCTGCCACTGTTTTGTCCAGATTTCTCCTGCATCACTTCCTTACCACAAAGAAGCCTCAGCCAAGGAGGCTGCCACTTTGAATCATGCTGAGGTAGGCTCTTTTATGTCTTCATGCTCTTTCTGCTACTTATGAAGTCACATGTCCTTTCAAATTAAGACTCTTAATTAAGGCTCTTAAGGTCAGCATTGAAGTTAGGTCTTATACCCTTGATGAATTACAGTTTTTCACCGGTCTTTGATACACCACCGCTTGTTGGCACAGGGTCAAATGTATAGAAACTGAATAGATTATGACAGGCGCTAAGTTTAATTTCTAAAGATTTTTACGTGCACCAGTAAATGGCACACCAGTAAATGCATGCTGTAGGAGACTACAGTGTAGTCTTCCTCTCCAAAAAATAATCATAAATTTGTTTCAATGTAAAGTAAAGCTTCCACCAATTCAGATAAGTAATAACTGGAATGTTTGCCTCAAAATTGTCAAAACAAGATTTGACCATGCCAAGGAATGGTGAAAGACTTTCTCTGACTATGGATTGCTATAGGCTGCTATAGCTTTTATACAGGTTTTGCTGATGATCTTGGAATTTGAGGCTCGGAACCATCAAATGTTTGATATACTGTACTCTTCCAACCAAGTGTTCACAGGGTGTGAACAATGACCTGCCCTAGTTGGCTTCTAACTGCCCCATTCTTATGCATCCCAAGATAAATGATTACAAAACTCACTGTGAACCAGCTCAAGTGTGTGATCATATGTGATTATAAGTACTCATTGTGCATGCACATACTGCAGGGTGTACTCTACTATGCCAAGTATCTACTGCTATTTAATAAAATCTATTTTAACACAAGTTGCACAAACTTTGGACCCACCTCCACTTCCCTCCCCTCCCCCAAGCCAGGAAGTCATTGGCGGGCACTCTAAAGCCTGGTTTGCACTATCATAATAGGCACAACCCCTAACCTCTAACCTCCACTAACCTAGTATGCAAGCCTGTGTGCTGGTTGAAGATAAAGAGAAAAATAAAGAGAAAAATAAAGAGAAAAACAAAAGTACATACAAATGGCCAAAGAGGAAATTCAACCCATGACATTAAATGGATCAGCAAAAGGGCCTAGTTAAGCAAGTACTATAACCGTTACACTAAGCAGTCCTACAGATCAAAGGCTGTAACTATGTTATATGACCTTTGAAAGGTCACATACATCAGCAAAACCTGGTTGGTCTCCAGAGCTCTGACAGCTGTCAAAAAGCTGTCAAACTCCTCCAGGCATCTCCAGAGGTCTCTGTAGATCTCTGGAATTAACTATCCTTGCTCCAGAGACAAAAGAAATGTATTGTGATGGTACAGGTTTTGCTGATGTAAATTATGAACCAGTCTGATTTCCAAAAATGGACACACATGTTTGGGGTGGCTGATCAAAACCTACCTACCCTATTCAGAATTCTAAGTGTTCACCAAGTGTTGACAGATTGCAATGATCTGTGACCAAGCCAGTGTGGGTGTTGAGAGTCAACCGGCGCTGCTCCAGTGCCTATTACCTTTTTTCTTTTGGACTCTCACCACCATCATCGAATTATCTTCAAATTCTCACTTACCCACCCACCCTCACCTTTACCAGCTGTATGCTCCAGCTTTAGTCTCTGCGTGTGTAATTTATTTGCCCACCCTGCGCAGAGCTAAAGCCCAGCCAGATAATTTCCACTATTAATTATACTTCTACTTGTCTCAATCTAGCCACAGTCTGGCTTATTGGGCTGCATCAGCTGTTAGACATCATGCAAGGTTTAGGTCTATCCAGTATTGTCACTGACCCCGTCAGACCCAGGTCGGATGGCAAGTCTGAACAAATCCGCTGCTGGGTCAAGAAAGTCTGACCTTTGGCCTGGTCTGGGCTCAGTCATGGAAATTTTGATAAGTCAGTGGCTGTTCAAACGAAATTTCCCATGATTCGTTAAGCACTTATGAGCTATGAAGCACTAAATGCTTGACTCTCCGCACCATCATGACTTGATTGGGTCAGACCTCTGACCTTGACTTTGCCAGCACTGGGTCTATCCATGTACTGTATGCTCCTCAGTATTCTGCTATAGCAGGATCTTGTTGATATTCATTTCAATACACTATGTCATGGAGCAAGGGACTGCAAACTTTTTGGAACTAGACTTTGGGTCAGACTAACTAGCTATGTAAGCGTTCCCATGCACCATATATGGTAAATCAAGATTGGATATTGTATTTTTCTGCCTCAGAACTACCTGGCAGTCAGACTATCCCAAGCTTTTTAGACTTTATATACTATGAATCTTGAAAGGACACCTTACAGAAGACATCTTCATTCAAGTGTTGGAACTTTGGACTAAGTAGCACTATGTGACTGGTGTGACAAATAGGTGACTGTTATTTGTAAGAATTACCAGAAATGGAGAAATGAAGAGGGAGGAGCTCAATCAGACATCTGGTGGTAAGTGCAATGGATTAAGGAGGTCCCAAAAATGCCCCAAATCACCTATTTAGAGGGGTATTGAACTTTTTTTTCTTTTCTGGCCTGACAGCCGGACTAACTAACTGACCCCCAGTTGGGTGCTTAATTCTTCGCAGCCCCTTAACATGGAGTTTGAGAAATCAAAGGATATTCACTGAACTTACTGTACTCTTCCAATCCAATGTTCAGTCACACTTCACAATGGCCCAAAATGAACAGTTCACAGCAGGGTGTCACTGATCATGAACACCATGACAACCAAACCAAAAAAAATTTTACTCAAAAAGGTTGAAAAAATACTTTAAAAAAGGATTATTCTGTTTGACAACCCTGTTGTTGTGCAACAACCCAGGGCTGTTCCCAGCATCATGTTCCTTCAAAGGTCATGTGATTTCCGGTCACTCCATCCCATCACTGTGAATCGCTTTGAGGCGCCCATTCGCTTCTTGCCACATCAGCATTCTCAACTCCTTCAAGCTTGCAGCAGCTTGACAATCCTGCCCGGGCCTTGCAAGCGTTAACATTCTTTCCATTGATTTCCATCAACTTTCATTCATATTCATTCCCTCAAGTACCAGCGGCACTGAGAGGATATAGTAGATGACCAACAATCTGGTACTAGCTATGTGCCATGGTTCTCTTCTCATCCTTTCTTTCAATGCTCACGTTTTTCTTAGTACTCCCACACCCTGCTTTCTCCTAGCCCCGGAATGCCTCCCTATTGAGTCACTGACTCTATGAGAGTTCATTTCCCTTCCTTCCCACCTATTCCACTCCAGACTGCTCTCCTGCTTTATTTCTACTTAGTACGTAGCCATGGTAGAGCCTTCCTACAGTAATTCTGTCCATACATGTCCTACATAGTAAGCCTTGTTTTTTTTACCACAATGCTTGACCTGCGGTGCCGCTGCTTCAGATGTGACCCCTTTGTACCCCCGGTGTAATGCCCGGTGTTACGGGAATATTATAGGGTTGTTGATGGTTGTCAAACAGAATAATCCTTTAAAAAACTCGAATTTTCCTCAAACCACATATGAACAAGCCAGAAATAATTTCAAATAAGGTAACAGGAAAGATCATATTGTAAAATAAGTACAGATAATCCACCAGAATCCACTCCTGGTGACAGCTCAGCTTATCTCGGAGTTTTTCGAAGATTTGTGGTTTTAGCGCCCAAATTCGATGGGATTTTTTTTGCGGGCCTTGGCCACTAGCATGGCAATACCTGTTGCCGCCCCCGTTGTCTAATGGTTATGACGTCAGACTTCTACTTTTGAGCTTAGTCAGCATATCTGGAGGTTGCGGGTTCGAATCCCGCCGGGGGTTTAACGCAGTCAAGCTTTGTTGTTTTTAACGACTGTAAGTACTTGTTAACGGTTTTCAACCAAGTCATCAGCATATCAACCGTTACAATAATGATTTGATTTTGGATGAGACCTTGTCCTTTAATTTGCTACCCTCTTCCTTCGCCTTCTGCGTTGCTCCGCTAGCTGCGTGTGCAACCGCCTTCCCCGCCTTTTCGGCTTGCTTCTTCGCCTCTCCGGCATACTTCTCCACGCAACCCTTGCATGATACAGGCTGTAAACAAAAATTTAGAAAGAAGTTTGATAAGTCGATATGGGACATGCATACAGGGTGTTCGCCTAAGGAGACGAGGGATGAAATACATGAGGCGTCGGCAATAAAATCTTGGAAAGATAATCAGCAAAGTTGATAGAATGGTGAATCCTCGCGCTAGAGTGATTGAATTCCGTGCTAGGGACTTACCAAATTCGCCAGTGGCAGCAGCCAAAAGGCAAGAACCAGCTAGTCAAAACTTTTCGTCAAAAATTTTCTTGCGGAATTACTGATAACCAATCACCAGTCGGGCCAGCATCTTTCGCACAAGCTTTAGGGAACTCAGTCAGACAAAAGGAAGAATCAACTTCAACTGGTGCACGCGCCTTTCATTTGCGCCTTTGTGCAGGTGGCCGTCGACGTCGAGCTGGGAGCCACGCCGCGGATATCGAGCTCCACGTAGTTTCCATCCAGCCTAACGGGCCTGGGGCGCGCACTTGCCATTACCAGGAAAGAAATTGTAACCAGAAGGGCGCCAAGACAACGGAAGCGCATTATAGAGATCCAAATAATCGGGAACAGCATCCACGCCGAACGAACGAATGAAACCGGGTGTGTCCAGCACAAGTTGAGGCTAATGTCCAGCAGTAGTGTAAAAGCGCCCTCCAAAGAGTTCTTCGATTATATATCGATTGCACTGATGGACCTGAAACGGTAACTGGAGCAAAGAACGATTAAGCCTTCTTCCGGCATTGCGAGAACTAGAATTTCCAATATTCCAGTACCGCCTTATCGGTACTGCCTGCCTTGCTGCCTTTGCCAAGGAAGAGTTGTCCTGTTATCGTTCTCCTCAATATGGAAAACAGAACACACCGACGAATTCCGCAATCTTGGCGGAGATCTTGGCGGAGAGCGAATTTCACCGGTCCTTTTGATTTTAGCCGCCAATGGCGATTCGATTTGGATCCGTGTTGCACGAACTTCGTACATACCATTGACGTGATTATTGACGTGATTATTTTATTATTTGCAAGCAGCTTTTTTTCAGATTCAAGTTGAGTAAGTAAGAAAATTAAAAGAAGAAAGCGCACTTACTTATAATATACGCATCACCAGCAAGTATTTTATTACGGTCTGCGTGCTTAGGTCGTGCACTGGGATATGTCTCGAATAAGAACCGCCAACACCGAAATCTCCCGACGATTCCGCCGAGAGGCACAACTTGAAGGCTTCGTGGTAAAGTTATGTAGATCTCATTTCACCCTTGTCGATTGAAAGTACAGCGGATGAATCAAGATGCTCAGCTTTGATAAGTTGGAGAAATACTACCAACTCGCATGACATTCTTTGATTAAAATTGCGCTTACCACTATGGGTTTCCTTTGCGCCTAGTGTAGACATCGCAAAAATAAGTATACCTACTTGATATAACGAAGCCTACACTAGATGTACTTGTTGCCTTCGTGCCTAGTGCAAACGTCGCGAGCCGGGTTGTCGGGACTGCCTGAAGTAGGAGCCTCGATTATCTGCCACAGCGGCGGGAGCACTAGGTGCCCGCGGCACGCATACAGGCGCTATGCGTGTAGCGCGGAACCCGACTGTTTCTCAATGGGACCGCGCCGGTTTACCTAGCTCCTTCTTTAAGGACTAGTTATGCATCCCTATCCTCCCCCGAGTTCCTGCAAAATATGTTATTCAGGAATCGTACACTACCTATGTTGGCGAAGTTTATATATGATGTACGCAATATCTTTGCAGGCAAGGAAGCCTGGATTCCTGCAGCTGAACTGTACGAGCCTTTACGCATCGGGAATTAATCAATATGGGTGTCTTATTCCTTGGTCTCTCTCTCCCATGGCATTCTTAATTGAAATTGCGCCTTGCCCTAGTGTAGACGTTGCAAAAACAAGTATACCTACTTGATGGAACAAAGCTTACACTAGATGCACTGGTTGCCCTCGTGCCTAGTGCAAACGTCGCGAGCCGGGTAGTCGGGACTGCCTGAAGTAGGAGCCTCGATTACCTGCCACAACGGGGGGAGCGCTAGGTGCCCGCGGCACGCATACGGGCGCTATGCGTGTAGCGCGGAACCCGACTGTTTCTCAATGGGACCGCGCCGGTTTACCTACCTACTACCTACCATTTAATATTTAATGCCTGATCATGATCAGTCTGCAGTACCTCAGTACCTCGTAAATCACTTCGGTAAAGTAGACCACCAGTAAATCGTGAAGCCAAAGTGAAACCCGTATAGAAGTACAATTACACACATCGAATCAAAGGCGTTACAGTAAGATAGTCGTGACTCGCGCTGAATCCAGAAACAGAGCATGCCTATTGAAGCCTAAAACGCATCCTAGCGTAGATAACCAAGTCACGCTTTCAGATCAGCATTGTCCAGCTCTTCCACGGACGGTTTTTCGGAGAGATCTCTCTCAGCCGCGGCAGCAAGAATCTCTTTCTCCGCCTCCTCGCCATCAAAGATAGCAGCGGTCTCTTCCAAAGTAAGATTCTTCGTCTCGACGACGTCTGGTAGAAATCATGAGCTGACAGTAATCTCGAGAGGGAGGAATACGTACATTTGTATAGGAAGATGCATTCTATCAAAAGCCAAACGCAGTAGACGACGTAGTACTTCCAGGTGATGTGAACTGTCGAGGAAGTGTTCAGAGTTGTTGGATTAAGAAGGATCATGAAGTCACTCACCAAGAGCAATTGGGTTGACATATTGATTGAAGATCAATGCGAGCGAGATTGTGAAGTTGAAAATGTTGAAACCCTTGGCTCTCATGGGGTAAGGCAAAATCTCGATGGTATACGCAACAATCAGGGGGGTGAAAGCAAGACTAGTCAAAAATAGAAAGTGATTAGTTGTGCTCTGGACAGAGAAGGTCTCATAGAGTGGGGAGCGAGGAAGGGATGGAAAGGGGATTAGCTTACTCATAAAATGCATAGAATAAAAATATGAAGGCGATGACACTGCGGGGAAAGGTATGAATGAGCGGTACTAAACCAAACTTAAGGATCTCTTACGCGTGAGCTGCAGCCGGTTGTTGGTGCATCTGGAACTGTGCAAATGCAATTGTTTGCGCGGTGAAGAAGACAAGCATTCCTGAAAAATAACATTTAGACCAGTTCGCGCGTTATCCAATGAATGAACACATACCAACGGCGGAAGTGAGGAACATAAGGCGACGGCCAAGCTTCTCCACCAAAGAAGACGCTATTAACGCGCATATCAAGTTCCAGATGGACAAAATTCCGTTGATAAGAAGCTAGGTGGAAAAAGATAGAGTCAGCGTATACACGAGAACGAATAAAAATAACCGGTACCTGAGTAGTCGGGTCAGTAATACCAATGTCCGAAAGGATCTTGTTGAGATAGTATGAGACGAGACCATTTCCGGACCATTGCGAAAAGAATGCAATCGCAACAATGATTCTCAACCGCTTCAAGTTTCCGGGTGAGGAAATGAACGCCTTGTAACCGACGTTGGCAGTAACTGGAAAGGCATGAGTTGAGGAAACAAAACAACTAGAATACACTGACCAGTTCGATCATATTCAATGGCAGCTTTGATCTCATTGAACTCGTATCGCACCAGAGGATGGTTCCTGTCACAAACAACCTCCGTTAGGAAGAAAATTCTGGTCAAGAGAGGAATTTGAACGCACGCATTGCTGTCGGCATGGTAGTATGCAAGAACTTCCATAGCCTTCTCGTCTTTGCCTTTACTGATCAGGAAACGAGGAGATTCCGGAACGAACCAGATGAGGAGGAGCTGGGCAATTGCAGGCAGCCCTTGGAGGATTGAGGGGATACGCCAAGACCTAAAGTGAGTTCGTGAGCATTGAACCAGTTCTGACGCTAGGTTTTCTTACCAAGTGCTCTTTATCTTGAATGTACCTATAATAGAATTCGTGAGTATTCAAGCAGTTTCAACAGCGGGGTTTTTTTTACCAAATGTCGTCCAGGCAGCACTAAAATGCAAAGCCGGTCAGCATTCAACCTCATACAGGCTCAATAGATATACATACACAATAGCACCAGAATACCAGAGCGAGTTATAAGTAGCAGTTAAAGGCGCCCTAGAAATTGTTGGAGTTGGATTGGTGTCGCTGGAAGGCGGAGCTGAACTCATACCTGTATTTCGGATAGCTGATCTCAGAAACAAGCATCGGAGCGGCATTGGCTGAACAATCCATGTAAGCATTTCCTCTTTATAGGAAAGAAAATGTTGACGCACCAGCGAATGTAAGACCGAATCCAATCAAGAACCTGAAAAGACTTCAGCATCAGATGCAAAACACGGGGTTTGTGTATGTAGCATACCGAGCTCCGATGAACATCCCGGCACTTTGTGATGCCCCTTGTACCGCGGTAGCTGAAAGGGAGGGTCGTCAGACATGAAGCGAGGAGACCATAGCAATATTAAAGCACCTAGAGTCATTATAAGCGCACCAATGAAGACCGTAGGTCGACGTCCAATCCCATCAGAAAGGTAGGGGGCAAAAGGATAAGCAGCCAGAGCACCGATATTCTACAAGAGCGTCCGTGTTCCATTAGACACAAACTGCTACGGCCAGATAAGTGGAAAACGAACTTGGATTGCATTGAGCAGCCCCAGTTCGGAACTATCGGGGTTCTTGAAATAACTTTGCCATTGTGGGCTATAGTGCTATTGAATTTATGTCGTAACGGAAGTCGGGGAAGATTTCTTACAGCGATTGGAGCCCCTGGAAATTTAGAATTAGTTAGTTGGGATAGA